CTTCGAGGGCACGTGTCTGTCCGTCACTTTGGTCGCGTCCTCACCAGATGCGCTCTGTCTTACCTTACGGCTGAGACTAGTGCCAAAATCACTATCACCCAATGTGAGTTTCCACCGGCCGTAGTTACGTCTGTGACAGGAGAAAGACAGTGAGGACAGGACACGGCACGCAGCGTGCCTGCGTCCGCTCTGGTGTTGGCAGAAATCGTTCATTGTGTTCTTTTGTGTCTGGTGACCAGAGTTCTGGGTCAGCATCTTGAAGTTGGTCTTTCACGTCCCTCGGCTGATGCTCGTGGTGACCGTTGTTGCAGGGCCGTCAGCAGAGTCTCTTCGAGGGGGACTGTGCGTCTTCCTCAGCAAATCGAAGCACAGACAGTGACTGATCGTCAGCAGAGGAGCAAAGCAGTGAGGACGCGGTGAGAGGGGCCGCTCAGGGCATGTCTGCAGCAGCGGACAAGCGCTTCACACGGGGGGACCGGGGCGTCGTGCTGGAGCCGCACAGGTGAACCTAAGCTGTCCTCAGCCTTGCTGGTGGGTGTGACGTCTCAGCTGTGCCCCTGGCAGGATGCAGCTTCCTCCTCGGCCTGTGCTGTAAGCTGAAGCATGGGGCCTGCTGAGAGGTTTGCTGTAGGTGAAACCATGGTACGCGCACCACCGCACGATGACAGCAGGCGCCCGGCCCACAGGAGGGCTGACGTCCGTGACAGCTACATTGTTTATAACTGCTGTCTAGGTGTTTATTTAGTTTAGGATCCTCCAGCATCGTCATCACACAGGACCCAAAATACTTCTAATAGTGCACATTTCCGACAAGCACAGCGACGTCCAGCCCTACGCTTGCTCTTCAGGCCAGTTGTGTAAGGCAGGCGGGTAAAAACGATTTCACTCCCATTGCACTAGTTAGAAACTGAGGCTCAGGGGGTGGGCCTGTAGCTCAGCGGTAGAGCACATGCTTGGCGTGCATGAGACCAGGTTCAATCCCCAGTGCCTCTGTTAAGGGGAAAAAAAATTTAAAAAAAAACTGAGGCTCAGAAAGAGTAGATGATTTTCAGTAAGGAGCAGATGTGTGGTGGAGCTCCGCTGGTGGTTTTCGCACCACAGAGTTCGTGCTCTTTGTGTCACTTTCTGCTCTTTTCAACACCAGAGGAAAATATCTGAGCAATTCGTTTCAGATTACATTAAATTCATAATTGATTTATCAAAATCCGATTTTGTCCCGTCGACCTGTCACAGGCTGGTCCTTTGCATGGTTTTATTTTCAAGATGCATGGAATGGTCTGTAACTAGTCCGTAAGCGTTCCCTTGTCATCCTGAAGCTGAGAAGCTTAGTACTCAGGGGCACAGGTTTTTCTGATGGCAGATTGTGTACGTGGAATAGTATCTTTTCAGATTCGTGTGGTTTGAGAAATCCGGATCAAATGTTACTTAATGCCTAATAGTTTCTGGCTCAGGTTCATGCTGTAGCCCACGTGAAGGAACACGTCTTCAAATAATAGAAGCACACGCTTCCGTGTGGGTAGATAAGTGTGTGTCTATCTCCTTACACGTATACAGTACTGCTGCCCACCGACAAGGAAGAAGTCCCATGAGGAGGAATCTGGCAACTTGCCGTCCAGACGAGAGGGAGCGTTCGCGTTCACTGCCGTCTCTGACACAGAACGGCTTCTTCTCTTTAACTGAAGTGAGTCAGTTCACTGCGTGGGGTCACTTTCTGGTGGACAGCGCAGTGACTCAGGTGCACACACATGCTCCTTTCCATTGCAGGCTGCTACGAGGCGCTGAACAGAGCTGCACTCACTACGCAGCGGGACCTCACTGTCTGTCTGTTTTGTGCGTAGTGGTCAGTGAGAACACTTTCCTACTATATCCTGGTTCTGAGACGCATTTGCAAAAATGTGAAGTCCTTTCTTTGCTGCTCTTTACTGAATCTTGGGACTTTCTTGACAGTTTGACTTTGAAGACAATTCACTTGATCGTTGGATTAAATTAAATGGTTGAGTGTGAAAGGCTTCCTTTTCTGAAGGTTCTCTGGCTTCACGTGAATCAGTCAGAGGTGTGGGGGGCAGCTGTGGAAGTCCACTCTGCGGAGGACGGGGTGGTCTGAGGGAAGACGTGAGCTTCCCGTCCGGCAGGGCTGCTGTGGGGCCGCGCCAGCTGCCCCTGCAGAGGCAGAGTGACAGGTGTCTGGCGGGGTGCAGCCTGCTGGGCCCAGGTCAGAGCTCCCGTCCCGTCTCCCACCTGTGGACCCCTCCGTGGTGCGGGTGGGCGGTGCCCGTCCCTCCCTGACTCCGGGCTCTGCTCAACCCTCCCTACCAAGAAGGGGCCCGCCCATAACCGAGCTTCTCTGAGGCACTCAGCTTTCTTTGAGGGGAGCTCAAGACGGTACAGATTCTCCACAGAAA